CCAGCAGCTGGTCATCCCCCGAGTGGTCGCAGACTGCAAGAGGGCACAGGCTGGGTTGAGGGACCCCCCCCCCAACTGAGTGCACAAATGTTGTGCACCGGGCCTCTACTACTAATAATAATAAGTAAATAAAGTAAAATGAGGAAACAGTTCTTTTCAAAGAGCTGAAATGACTTGACCAAGTCACACAGCTAAAAAGTAGCCAAAGTGGGATTTGATCCCACATCTCTAACCTAAAACTTTTGACTACCAGATTCCTCTGTTATTTTGACAAGAATTATTTGTAAAATCTTCTTTGGCCCAGCTGGTGTGGCTCGGTGGTTAAGTGGTTGACCCATGAACCATGAGGTCATGTTTCAATTCCTTGTCAGAGCACATGCCCAGGTTGCCGGCTTGATCCCCAGTAGGGGGCGTGCAGGAGGCAGCCAATCAATAGACTTTTCTCCCTCATTGATATTTCTATCCCTCTCCATAAATAAAATAAATAAAAACATTTAAAAAGTAAAAAAAAAAAAAACCCAACCTTCTTGGGACTTCTAAACAGGTCTCTCCCCGTGAGGACAGGAGGACTGTCCTTGGGGGCTTCCTGTGGGCCAGCCTCTGTGGTTAAAGGGGAAGAGGGTGGAGAAGTTTGAGCCCTGACAGGGGGAGCAGTCTCTCCTGGGTCGGGGTTCTGCTCAGGCCCTCCATGTGGGGAGACCCAAGGCCTTGGCAGTGCTCCCGGCTCAGCCAGCCCTGGATCAGGCTGCCCAGAGGGAAGCTGGGACTCAGACCCAGCCCATTATCAGCGTGAAGGCCTGCTCCGCCCTTAACCCGGCTGACTCTCTGTGTTGCAGAAGACACCTACAGCTCTGAGGAGACTGTGGACCAGCAGCCTGTGCACCTGAGGGTCATGGACACTGCAGACCTGGTAACCTTACCCCCCTTGCAGCTGAGAGCGCAGCCTCCTGAGAAGTCCTGGCCCACAGTGGGGGCCTCAGATGGGAACATTCCCTTCCAGCTCCAGTTTGCTGTGTGAGCCTCTCTTGGCCTGGATCTCTTCATTTGCCAAATGAGAAGGAAAGGGGTGGGGCCCGGGGAGACTTGATGACCGAGGGCATCAGCTCCAAGATCCTGTGCTCTGGGGCCTGATGCTCGTGCACACGTGGAGACAGGTGCACACACATGTTTACACAGAGGCTCCCCTCGGCCCAAGTTCCCCCCCAATACACACATCTCCCTGTGTTCTCACCACCTCCTGCCAAGACCAGATGCCACTCATTCTCAGAAGCCAAGGGCACCATGAACCTGACCCCAAACCAGCGGTGCCCAGAGACAGCCAGGTCTCTTTAGGGGCCATGCCAGGGTGTTGGCTCTGTGCCCCAGAGGCCAAGGTCTCCCAGTCTCTGGCTGGGTGGTGGGAGGGAGGCTCACGAGACAATGTCTCCTTTCACACCAAGCCAAACCCGCACTCAAGTGCCCCTTTGACAAGGGCCCTGCTGGGAAACAATATACAAAGACCCGAGCGTGGGGAGGTGCCGCGGGGTAGCTCAGGTGAAGGCCTTCGCCCTGACCTCCTCTGTCCCTGACCGGGGCGTCCCTCCTTTGCCCCAGGACACCCCCAGGAACTGTGAGCGCTATCTGAACTGGGCCCACGCCTTCCTGGTGGTTTACAGCGTTGACAGCCGCCAGAGCTTCGAGGGCAGCAGCAGCTACCTGGAGCTGCTCGCTCTGCACGCGAAGGAGACGCAGCGCAACTACCCGGCTCTGCTGCTGGGCAACAAGCTGGACATGGCCCAGTACAGGTGAGCACGGCGGTTGTCCCACGAGTCCAGAGCTCACGTTCCTCATCCGTGAAGCCTGGGTGTCATCTTCAGGGATTATTTGGCTGCTAAGAATAGGAATCTCGAGGAGTTCGGGAGGTAGAGGCTGGCAGCGCAGCGCAGTTTTAGGTAGAAGGGGGTCTGTTGTAAGGGGGTGTCTTCTAGGCAGCCATGGACAGGATGGGAAGGGATCTGGGCAGCCCAGGGGCTGGACCCTGAAAGTCAGGAGAGAGGCCACTCCTTCCTTCCTCCTGGGGCTCTGTGGTCTCTGCCAACCTCACCCTTTCTTGCCTGAGTCTATATGACCTTCTGTCCCCACTCAGTGCAACGGGCTGGTCACTCTGTGCCCAATTCCAATTCTAGGGAAGGAGACTCCAGTTTACTGGGTAAGGAGTCTGCCCTGGTCCAACCAGCTCTCACCTCACCCAAGCGCAGCCCCCAGGCTCACTTCCACGGCTGGCTGTGCTGAGGGCAGTTCTCTTCGCAAGGGTTGGACTTGGATCAGAGGTCACAGACTGGACCAGAGAGCAGATTACCATCGAATACTGCAGCCATAGGTTGCTCATGTATCTTAGGAGACCTGGAATTTGAATGCTTTGGGGCTGGGCATGCTCTTTCTAGCTGACCACAGGCCTCACCACTCCCTGTGGCTTTCCTCTACTCTCTACACACATTTAAGTTGCCTGTCTGTCCTGGAGCATTTGAGACTATGATGCCTCCACTTGATAAGTACTAGTAATCTCCCTGGCATTCGTACTGACATTCGTCCTGTGTGGCCAGTCCACCTGCAAGGAATGGCACCTTCTGCCAGCATTCCACCGGTCCCTCCCTGCTCATGGGTGGCCACTCCTGATTCCTTAGGCCCCAAGGGTGCATTGACTGGTGGTGGCAAGGAGGGGACCCTTTGTTTTAAACAGGTCAGATGGACAGTGGGAAAAGGGGTTCCAGTCTCATGAAGGGGGACAAACCCTCAGACCCAGACATATTCCATCTCAGGAAATGAAGAAAGTTGTGTGATCTTAAAGCCAAAACGAACCACAGAGCCCCCAGAGCCTAGAAGACTGGATTGAGGTAAACCAGTTTTCATTATGAGGAAAAAAACCAGATGGTTGTTTTGATCCCAATCTTTGCCAAATAGATTGTCTAAAAATGGTCTGGGAGAGCAAATAACAAAGAACATGGGCTCAAGTGAAGCAGCATCCATTCCCTAAGAACAAGTCCCTGCTCTCCATTTCCTTCTCCAATCAGGTCCCTAGCTCAGGAGGTCAGGCTCTGATGGGCATCGTAAATCTAACTTGGAGCTGAGCACTGATCAGTGCCTCCCATGATTGTCTTGCAGCTAAATGTGGTTTAGAGCAGCGGTTCCCAAACCACTGATAAAATGTTCACCAGGCTCCAACAAAATGAGAAAAAGGATGTTACATGCCTGCATCACCCATTCACACACATGCATGCATCATGCATGGGGTTCCTGTTCCTGAAAGTTCATTATTCAAGCCCCACGATGACAAAGTTTCAGATTCAAGTTTATTATAAAAGCAAATAATACTAAATATTCTTTCACAAGGGGCACCTCAGGAAGCAGTGACAGGACAGCAGCCCTGGGTGGGGGCAGGATTAGGTGCTGTGCCCCTGACCCTCTTTGTCCCAGTCACTCTATCCCGTACTGCCCTGGGTAGCTAGCCCACTCCCAGCCCCCTGCTCCTGCCAAGTGAACCTTGGCTCAGAAACCTGTTCCCACCAGTACCCACCCTGTGTCTCCTCCCATAGCGTGGGCTGTGCCATTGTCCTCAGGAGTGGTGGGTGAGGCAGCTCAGTAATGGGAGGTGGTCAGGAGGATTCAGGCGTTGAACCTTGGCGGGGGCATCCTGTCCCTTCCCTCTTCTGGACTTTGACCTGCCCAAGAACCAGCTTTTCCCCTCTCACCTTGGCTCCCGGGGCTTCCAGGTTAGATGCTTTCAGGACCTTCCCAATTGCAAATATTTGCTCCCACCATCCTGGGAGGTGGGATGAAGCTGGGAGTAGGTGCTGCTCCCTCTCCCCCCCCCTCCGCCCCCCACTCCACATGAATGTTGTCATCCTTCTCTCTCCTGCCCGTCCCCAGGCAGGCAGACAAAACTCCCCTCAAGCCCTGAGAGCTTTGCCAACCACAGGCATCCTGAGTGACCTTGGCCCTCCATGCCTCTGTAGACACGGTGGTCTCACACCCGTCAGTCCAAACCACTGCCTTTTTGTAGAGCCGAAGAGCCAATCTCACGAGGGAGGGCGAGGGTGGCTCATGTCCTGACCAAGGGCCCCCTATGGGAGCAGAGGGTAGGGATGTGGATGGCTGTCTTCCTCCAGCCACAGGCAGGGTGTAGGTAGGGCCTGTGACCAGCTTCTCTCCTAACCCTCAACCTCGCTCCTAAATTCTGGCTTTGGTGACATCAGCCACCATTTATTGAGCACTGACTCTGCCAGGTACTGTGCTAGGCACTCAACACAAATTGTCTTTCTTACTCTTCTTAACCCTGAGAGCAGATGTAATTGTCCCCTTTTGCTGATGAGAAAACTAAACCGTGTAGAGATGAAGATGACCTAGTCACCGAGCTAGGAAGTGGGAGCCTGGTGTGGGCCCAGGCCTGCCTGCCGTGGACGCCTGCTCCTGACCTCACCTCGCCCTCCTTCCCCACCAGGCAGGTCACTGAGGCAGAGGGCGCAGCCTTGGCGGGAAGGTTTGGGTGCCTGTTTTTCGAGGTCTCGGCCTGCCTGGACTTCGAGCACGTGCAACACGTCTTCCATGAGGCAGTGCGGGAGGCACGGCGGGAGCTGGAGAAGAGCTCCCCGGCCCGGCCCCTCTTCATCTCCGAGGAGAGGGCGCTGCCCCACCAGGCCCCGCTCACTGCCCGTCATGGACTGGCCAGCTGCACCTTCAACACCCTTTCCACCGTCAGCCTGAAGGAGATGCCCACCGTAGCCCAGGCCAAGCTGGTCACTGTGAAGTCATCCCGGGCCCAGAGCAAGCGCAAGGCACCCACCCTGACCCTATTGAAGGGCTTCAAGATCTTCTGAGGATCCTCGGCTCAGAGCCTGGCAGGGCTGCAGGGGGTGGCTGACCTCTGGCCACTGGCTTTCCCTCCCATGGAACAATAGCCTGCGCCCTCTGGTGGACAGCTGACCGCTGCTCCAGCACCAAGCAGTGTCCCCGACACCCAGTTTAATGTGTAAGCTGGAGGGACGTCAGGCAGGTAGGGTAGGAATGCTGCTCCTATTTGGAGGGCCTTGGTTTCCGTGATAACCATGACATTCCCTGCCACTGAAGGAAAACAGCCCCCTGGGACGGCCCAGACACCTGGAGTCAGCTGTAAGCAGGAGGAAACTGAGTGTCCATTGTGGTATCACCCCTTCCTGCTCCAGCTCCAGCCAAGCCAGATGTGGGGCCCCTAGTGGACAGCTCTGGGTGGGCAGCTCCAGGAGGCCTGGCATAAGTGTAGGCCTGAGGACATCCTGCAGGAAGGACAGGCCGAGGCCCTCGAGCACCTGGCGGACGGGAGGGCAGGGTGGGTGCAGGGTTTGGGGGGCCAGAGTCTGGTCCTCCCGTTGTCTCCTGATCTCACAGAAGCCCCAGGCAACAAACCCCACAGTTTTTCTAAATAACATCCAGTTTAAACCTACGGGACATCCTGTAAGAAGCAAAGTCGCAGGAGGGGCTATTCCAGTGCGTGGCCGCTTAAGGAGGGTAGAGGGAGAGGCTGTGTGTGTCCAGTGAAGGGGACCTTAGAATTGTTCGCCAGAAGGCAGGGCCCCCTTATCTTCCCATCCTCAAACGAAGGACTCAGCCCATTGTCGGGACCAGCCTCCTTAGTATAACGATCAAAGCTGCAGAACAAAGTTGCTCTGTCTGGTGACGAGGACTCAGGATTTCAGGGAGCCCACGGCTGGCAGTATCTGACATCCAGGCACCATTAGCCTGCCCTGGGTCTACAGGTAGAAACAGTACACCGGTTTGTAGTCT